CCCGACACGACACGAACCCGACACGACCCGACCCATTTCCTGGCTTGAAAATTGTGTACCAATGCGGTTACTAGTTATTCGTGTTTATTTATATATGTTTTGGGTGAGATTTATCATTAGTTCTTAGCATAACTTGTTCTCTTATGAAGCCCAAGTTGACTAGGTCGTGTCTACAGGGCGGAATTGCGAAGGGGCTAAATTGGGTTTGAACTAGGGTTAATTAGTCCACCCCTTTAACATGTGTTCAAAAAATTAAAAAATTATAATAATTATAAGATTAAAAAAAAATAAAAAAAAAAAGAGATGCCACCCCGTTAACATGTTTTTCTTTTTGGTCCACCTCTTTAACATGCTCCTTATTTGTTAGTAAAATTTTAGCTAAAAAACCACAATAGCTATTTTAGGAGCCTTTTATAAAATTTGAACTCCAATCATACCTCAAGCTAAAAAAACACAAAAACTATAGTTCTTTTTTAGTTCAATATAATTGGTTCATCTCTATAAAAATTATATAAAAAAATAATTAATATTAATCAAAAGTTTAAAATATACATAAAACAAAGCAACATTGAATTAAAGAGAGCCGCTATGAGTCATGTTTCTGTTCTCGGATTTAGGAAGTGGATAGTGAACATGGTTGGAGTTATATTTTTCTAATTCGTAGAGGTGGTTTAGAACATCCACAATTATGCTCTTTATTTTTTAATTAAAATTTAGCTAAACTAGAAAGCTATTTTTAGCAATTTTAAGAGCTTCTTATAAAATTTAAACTTCAATCATGCTATCTAGTTTAGGGAATTATAACTGATTTATTTATTTATTTATTTTTAAACTTTATCGTAAATGCTTCCTCTTCATATAAAATAATAATATTAAATAAATACTTAAAATAGCATTAAAATAAAATAACATTTAATTATAAAGATCTACTAATAATCCTTTCTCTCTCCTCATAGGAGTCATAGTGAATACTTAATATTATATAATTAATCCATCCAATCCACATTACCTTTTTTAATATTGCGGAACATTTTTCTGAATTTTTTTTTGAGTGCTTCTTGCCCTTCCTCTTACTCTCTTTTGTGGACAAGAAATGGGCTGGAATCCCCAAGGATATAAAGGAGCAGATTTGGGAAGCCGTTGACATGGCTTTTGTGGTAGGTCAAGGGGGCAAGAACTTGGTGTTATCTTCTGCTGCCAAGAAATAGAAGGATTTCAAGTCTACACTAACGAGGCATTATATCCTTCCATACATCAAGGAGAGGGAGAAATTAAGCCAACCCCCTGAAATATATAAATTCATAGAGAAAGCAGAATGAGATGCCTTTGTAGCTTCAAGGTTATCCCAAGAATTTGAGTCTGTGCATTCTCAACATTCACAGATTAGGGAGAAACTTGAGTACAATCATCGATTGTCTCAAAAAGGATATGCTGGTATGGAGGAGCAATAGGAGGAAACCAACCATGCCTGGGGTAGAAATTGATTGATCTACCTTATGAAAGGAAGCTAGACAGGACAAACATGGTAACATCCCGGATCCAAAGATGTTAGAGAAAGCAAAATTAATTGTAAGCCTACTCACTCTGTTTTAAATTTTTATTAAACTGTGTATAATTCTTATTACGTCTTATGTTATATTTTGCGTCGTGTGAAAGATATTACTACGTCGAAATGTTTTAAAAAAACGTCGTTAAAGGTCTAAATCTGGAATCACTACTCTGTTTTCTATAATTATAGCATAAGACGTCGGTGGTTAAAATTTGCGTCGTGTGAATTATATTACTACGTCGAAATATTTTAAAAAACGTCGTTAAAGGTCTGAATATGGAATCACTGCTCTGTTTTCCGTAATTATAGCATAAGACGTCGGTGGTTTATTTATTGAGTCGTTTGAAACCACTAACCACGTCGTTAGTAACTACCGTCGTGATAAATTTATAATAACGTCGATTTCTTCGTTATTGCGTCGTGTGAAATTATATAATACGTCGTTTGTTTATAAATAACCGTCGTGTGTTTTCTTTTGCTTACTTTTTTATATATCTTTGTTTTAGGATGAATTGCAAAAACAAGTCTCGGAAGGCAGTCTCAGTGTATCTGGCAGCAATGATGTGTTGACCATGGCTTTGGGTCCCGAGCATCCTGGGAGAGTAAGAGGGGTAGGTGCTGGGATTTCCCCTAGGCAATACTTCAATTTACCCAGACAACAGAGGGTAAAGTTTGCCGATCAATTAAGGAAAGTGTAAGACTTGTCCTTCAAGAAGAGACAAATAAGATGGAAGCTAGGTCAAGGAAAGAGACTTTAAGGATGGAGGCTAGAACCAAGCAATTGGTAGAGGCTGAGAGGGAAAATTTACTGAGTCAGCTTTCCCAACTCATCCCCAATTTTGATCCAAGCATGCTTAAACCGAAAACTAGCCCCTGTCAAAACCAAAGTCCCAAAAATCCAATGTCTAACAAAGCAAGCTGCTCTGGGGCTGATGTGAGATCCCTACATTTTGAGGATGATACTGCCAAAAATGGGGAACACAGGAAGAAATGGTAACATATCTGAACTTTGAATTCTCAGTTTTTTGAAAAACTATTAGACGTCGTTATTATGACGAAAACCGTCGTTTGAAATTCATACCACGACGATTTTATAAATAAACCGTCATTTGTATTTCAATACCACGTCGTATTTAGTTTACTTGTTTTACACGCGATTAGACGTCGTTATTTTTGAAAAATTTTGTGGTTATTTAGACAACGGTTTTAGTCCTTACCGACGTAATAGATAAATCCCACGACGTTTATTATTTACCATCGTTTAATAATTTTAAGACGTCCATAATTCTTACATACTGTCTTATGTAATGTCTTACCACGACGTTTTGATTTAATTTTTTTACTTTCTGTACAATCTGTCTTATATATATATATATATTTCTTTATTACTTAAAACAGAAATCTGGGGATTTAGAAAATCAAGATGAAGAGAAGAATGAAGAAAAAAAAAAGATGAAGAGAAGAAAGATGAAAAAAAAGTTGAAGAGAAGAAAGAAGAAAAAAAAGATGAAGAGAAGAAAGAAGAAAAACAAGATGAAAAGGGGAAAGAAAAAAAAGAAGATGAAGAAAAGCATGACGAAAAGGTATATTCTCATAACTTTTCCTTTTTTATTTGTTTTTCAAATTTCAGACGTCGAAATTTTTCTTTAAATCGTCGTTTGTTTTCAAATTAGACGTCGGAATTTGTTTCCTATGACGTAATAAATTATTCAACACGACGGTGTTTTATTACCGTCGTTTAAATTCTTATCAGACGACGTTGTTTTCTTTAAACCGTCATGTTTATTGAATTACCATGTCATTTTATTTTGCTTTATTTCTTTAAATAGGGTATTGAAGTAGTTGATTATTCAAATGTGGAGATGCCGTCTTCCTTACAATCCCTTTGTCATTATGTGGAAACGACACTAACGCCTCAGGAGAAGATCATGACCTTTACAATTGAGAAGAAGGTGTTTGGTGCAGATCGCAGTCCCTTCGTCTTGCCTGAAGATATTACACAGTTAGCGGGCATGGAAGAAATTAGGGCTACTGTGGTTGCAGTATATATGAGGTTTGTCCTTATCAATAATTTATTTCACACTCAAATTTGTGTTTGAAAAAAAAAAATCATTATAGCATAAGACGTCAGTGGTTATTTATTGGGTCGTTTGAAACCACTAACCACGTCGTTAGTTATGTACCGTCGTGATAAATTAATTATAACGTCGGTTTCTATTTCAGGTCGTCGTGTGAAATTGTATAATACGTCGTTTGTTTATAAATAACCGTCGTGTGTTTTTTTGTGCTGACTTTTTTATATATCTTTGTTTTTTATATTTAGGTGCTTATATGATCGTTTGAAAGAAGCAAATATGTGTAGCATGGTTGACTTTATCGACCCTGCTCAAGTTAGTGCCAACGTTGGGTCACTGACTGACAGATCACGATTGGTAGCAAGTCGACTTCAGAAGACAAATGGTGAACAGATTTTCATGATGCCTTACAATCCAGGGTTAGTCTCCTTAACAGGATTTTGTTTGTATGATTTTCACTAAATGACTGCGTATAAAACTGTTTAAATAATTTTGTGCCGTTTGAAACATCTAACCACGTCGGTGCTTTATATATTGAGTCGTTTGAAACTCCTAGCCACGTCGTTAGTTATTTACCGTCGTGATAAATTTATAATGACGTCGATTGCTACGTTATTTCATCGTGTGAAACTATATAATACGTCGTTTTTTATAAATAACCGTCGTGTGTTTTCTTGTGCTGACTTTTTATATTAACCGTCATTTTTTATATTAATTTTGTGCAGTCGTCATTGGGTCTTGCTGATTGTGAGAGCAAAGAAGGAAACCGTCTATTTTCTGGATCCTCTGCCCGAAAATCGTGTGGTTGATGAGGAGGCCAAAAACTTTGTGAACAGTGCTATAAAAATTTATAATTCCCACATAGGCAAATAAGGCCGTAAAGCACCAATTTGGAAAACTCTGCCAGGCACACCAAAGCAACCCAGCAATGTCGAATGCGGGTATTATGTGATGCGCTTCATGAGGGACATCATCATGGATCCTTCCTTGGAGTTTGAGAAGAAGGTAAGAAGAAAATTTTCAGATATATTTTATGTGGTTTTTTTTATTATCAACGACGGTCCTTTAAAATTACCGTCGTTGAATTGATATACTACGTCGGTTATGAAAAATAGCGTCGTCTGTGATTGAATTTCTTTTTATTTATAAACCTTAATAATCATTGTTTATGGATTGCAGTTTGCCAAGTGAAAAGAGCAAGCGCCATACCCCCAAGAAGCCATTGATGAAGTCCGGAATGAATGAGCAGAGTTTGTTTGCCTTCATATGGAGTAGAGGATTTTTGGAACACTTGATATTTTTATATAATATACAAATTTTGTCTATAATATACATCCTTTTTTTCCCTGAAAATTTGTTGAGGTTTTCTTCATTAAAAAAAAAAAAACAAAAAAACAAATTGCGTAACCGACGTGTAATAACTTTCCAACGACATAATTATGTCAAAAACCGTCGTCTTAAGTTGTTGGAAACAACGTCATCGTTTGAAACAAATCCGATGTAAAAGGATATTTAGACGACAGATATGACGTGGTAATTAAATTACACGGCGACACCTTTTTTGTTTAAGTCGTGATATACCATTTGTACGTCCATGGGACGTCGTTTTAGTGAAAATTTTGCCATGGTTTCGCTTTTAGACGACATCCTTTGAACAAGTAAGTCGTTTATTATATTTACAACGTCGTTACTTTCTCAAAGTTGACGTGGTTTTTTGTGTTTGTAGGAATATTTTATTCTGTTTCATTCAAAATATTCATAATAAATTTAAAATAGATCAAA